ATTCCTGCTAATAGCAAATTCTTAGTTTATTTTCAGCTGGGAATGACTTTATTTCTGCTTCATCCCTGAAGGATAGATCGTGCTAGTTACAAGATTCTTGATTGACGTTTCCTTCCTTTCAGCATTTGAGATATGCTTGACTCTTTTCTGGGGAAATCTGCTGTCACTCCAGTTGTTTTCCCCTGCATGTAAGGTGCAACTTCTTTTCTGGCTCCTCTGAGGATTTCTCCTTGTCCTTCCTGTGCAAAAGTTTGATGTCTTGCATCGTATCATCTATTTGCTGAGGTTCGCACAGCTGCCTCTCAGTCAGTAGGTTCAGAAGCCACTTGCCAAGTTGGGGGCGTTTTCAGCCGTGATTTCTTCTGAGTGCTTTTAGTGCCACTCTCTTCGGCTTCTCCTTTTGGAACTCCCGTGGAATTACATCCTGCATCCTAGTTTCTCCTGCCTGTACTCTGTGTGCACAGTGAATGGTCTCTGTCATGTGCTCTGCCTCCCCCCTCTCCGTTCTGCTGCTGAGCCCACTCGGGTATTCAGTTACTCAGTCGTAGTCTCTCCAGAGAATTCTTTGTATCTTCTATTCCTCCCCGAGGCTCTCGGATACTTTACTTGTTTGGAACATGTTTGTAATTATCCATCAAAGCGTTTCTATCATGGCTGTTCTGAAATTGTCCTGAGGTGACTTGGATGTCTCTGTCATCTCTGTATTGGTATTAGCTTTTTTTTCCCTTCTGTTTGATACATGCTGATTCTTGGTATAGTAATAGTGGACTGCAACTTAGATATTTTCTTCTTATGCTGTTATTGCCTCTACCTTGTTTAACTGTCTGTGGTAATTGGTTCTCCCTGGCACTATTCTAACCACAGGAGAGTTGGCGAGACTGCTGCCTCGGCACTGCCAGAGGGAAGAGCAGTGCAGGGTCCCTCCCACCCTGGCCTCCATTATACCCAACGTGGGGGTTTTGTCGTTGCTGCTGGCTGATGGTTTTAGTCCTGACTTTCGAGGCCTCTTCTGATGGCGTCCAGGTGGAGATGCGGATGGGCCCTGTTATTGCCAGGTGTAATCTCAGGCTCTCCAGCTGATCCCCACTGACACACAGTGGGGAGCAGGGGTCCATTTGTATCAGCAGGCAAGAACCATGTATCGGATCCCTCCTCGGCTTTCACTGTCACCGCCTTGGAAGGGGTGTCAGGGTGCCCTGTTACAGCCTCTCTGCTGGTGTGCATGGGGCTGGAGCCACCTTTTTTCTGTGGTGCTCGATGACAATGGAATTTATCCAGAGGTTTCTGTCTCCCTTGGTTGCCAGTATCGATTCTCTTGCCAGAGTAATGGCAGAGTAATGTGTTGGTCAGACCAGGGTGCCACTGATGGTCAGGTTTGCCAATATTTTGGTATTTCTTAGAAAGAGAAAAGTCTGCATAAGCTGATATGCCATCCATAGCAAGATGTTTGATGCTTTCAGAGAGGGTGAAACATGGCCGGCCTGTGCTTCTCTGAGGGGTTAAATGTGGCAGTTATGCAGAAAGAACCTGCAGAGTGAAGGGTAGAAATGTTCAAGTGTGTTTTATTTATTTGCCATGTTCAGATTAACAACTGGAGATTGGTCAGTTTACAATAGCAAGCCCTCTTTTTCTGAGGATGTCGACAAGGCCCTTTGAACCCCAGTCTAATGGGTCTCTCTTCCTCGCAGAGATAGAGCAGCTTGCTTTGCTATTCAGAAAGGATTATAGACATCATGCAGTGACATGAAGATATTTAATCATAATGATATGGCTGACTGGGAGTGACTGCTAAAAGAACAAGAGATCAAAGATTTAAAGGTATGAATTTTTTTTCTTTTCTTTTTTGGAGAAGTTTTTTTGTTTTTGTAATAGGGTGTGTGCATGCGCTTGCCAGAGAGACAGCCAAAAATCACCCCCCGGGGGGGGGGGATGATCATGTTCAAATCCCTTCTCCTCCATTCATCTCGGGATCTTGGGCATGCATGCATACACGCCCGGCATGATGTTCAGATTAACAACTGGAGATTGGTCAGTTTACAATAGCAAGCCCTCTTTTTCTGAGGATGTCGACAAGGCCCTTTGAACCCCAGTCTAATGGGTCTCTCTTCCTCGCAGAGATAGAGCAGCTTGCTTTTTCTAACCAGCTAAATTATCTATGAAATGGTTATTTGTCATTGAAAACTCCCTGCAGATCACATTTGGATATTTAGTAAGGGTGTTCCCGCTTATTAAATGTGCTTCATGCTGAAGAGCCAAATCTGATGATAGTTGCATGGCATGACAAGACCATGTGAGGGTGCTCCTTCCCCTTCCTGTTTCTGTCCCTCTGCCTGCCTGTCTGTCTGCGTGGGCCCGTGTTCGCTATCAGGAATGAAATAGATCAAACTTTTAACCATGCATAAATCATGTATCACATGCAGGAAAGAG